TGTTCGAATCTAAACTTGTTAAATAAGTTAAATTACTTGATGATCTCACCTTGCTATTGTACTAGGACGGAGAAGCCATTAGTACCAAGAAAAAAATAAAGGAAAATAGTTCGTTTAGCGGGGACTAGAAACAGGAATATTCTAGTCCAGACACGAGATCTTCTGTGTAAAGTCTAATAAGCCAGGCAACACATAAATAAACTACACACACTAACCACAAGCACTAATCTGAATGCTATCGTGCCACTAAATTTGGCCTGATGAGACTAGAGAAATAAGCATACTGTTCCACTTATAAAGAAATTTGAACAGCTAAAGCATACCAGGGGCATTTTGGATCTAAAGCTTCAACTTCATTATCCAAGCTAAGTTTATCCTGTGGATCTTGTGAGGCAGACATCAGTGAAGGTGAGGACATGATTAGCTATGTAATTTTTGACTTTTTCAATTTGGATGTTTTTTCTAGATCTTTTCCACCCAGATTTAGATCTTTTTAGATATTTTTTGACACCGTTTTGGATATTTTTTGTCAAAGAAAAGTGGCAACACTGTTACTGCTACATCCTAAACTTTAACATTTTATTTAGGTTTGTAATGTATGTGCAAAAGATAATAATTTTCCAAAGTTCTCGTGTCAGGGCATTGCAACCGTAAACCCCATACAGATACCTTAAAAGTAGCTAACAAATGAAGAACTCAGCCTTAAAACTGACAATTCAAGTTATTCATTATCGGTGGATTAAAAGCTATGATAGACATTGTGGTGTTAGAAAGTAGAAGAATGGGCCTCAGTTTGAATAATGGGAAGACAGAGGTGGTATTAAAGAAACTAATTATTCCTTAATGTGTAATAAAAGTCGATGGTGTTATTTTGGGACAAGTACGGAAATTTAAGTATATGGGCATATGGATAACATCAGATGGAAGATGCATAACTGAGATAAGAAACAGAAAAGGACAGGCAAAAACTGCATTTTATAAGATGAAGAACATCTTGTGCAATATATCCTTGTCATTGAAAGTTAGAAAAAAGAATTCTTGCTTTCTACATACATCTAGTTTTAACATATGGCTATGAATCCTGGACAATCGGTAGGCAGGCCAAACAATTTTTAGAGGCCTCAGAGATGTGGTTTTACAGAAGAATGCTTAGAATACCTTGGACAGACAAAAAGAGCAACCAAGAGGTTTTGAAAGAGGCGGGAGCCCGAAGACAACTTATCACAGACATCAGAAGGAGACAGTGATCATTTTTCGGCCATGTTATGAGAAGAGGGAAAACTAGAACATGTTGTGACCACTGAAAAGATCTGTGGAAAAAGGGATAGAGGAAGACAACGAGAGAAGATTCTTGCCAGTCTTCTTGCATGGCACGGAGGTTTATGGGTACACGAACTGATACATGCTGCAGGAGATCGCAGATTGTGGAGAGGCATAATCGCCCACGCCAGTTGTCAAGGCACCTGATGATGATTGGTATGACTTACCCTTTAGAATCATGACCTCATCTTCACTAATGTCTGTCTCACAAGATCCACAGGATAAACCTAACTTGGATGATGCAGTTGAAGCTTCAGATCAGAAATGACTGGTATGCTTTAGCTATTCCGATTTAATAGTATTATGAGAATGGGTAATAATTATAGACATGGCACATTCAAAGAACTTACAGAATGGACCGTTTCCTGCGGCATCTTTAAATTGTCTCACTTCACTCTAAAACGCTTCAGTTTCTGTTTTGTTTGTCCAGTCAACCAAGTTTATTTTGGTTAATTGACATTCTGCTTCCGCCAAACTATTATCAGTAGCCCCTAAAAATTTCATAATTTTACAATATTTAGGTATGTCCTTTACTGGCTGAAGTATGTTGCTCACAGAAAAGAGTGGAATATTTTTCAAAACATCTAGATTTTCAGGAAGTCTCTATTTCAGTTGCTTGAATAATGAGACAAGCAAATCTTGACATAGCTTAAGTTGTTTTTTTTTTTTATTTTATGTTAACAGTCCCGGAGTACTAAAGTGAATCTTATCAGAACTATTTTTTTTTAGCTAACACTGTACTGTCAGTGCCTAATGTGGACACTTACATCAACCAATGAACATAAGATTGTGACAACAGAGATGACATGCCTTAGAAGAGCTGCTGGAGTTTCAAGGAAAGACAGAATATGAAATCACGAAATCAGCCGAATGCTAGGAATAAAGCCAGTCCTAAACCCATCAATAAACAACAAACGAAGTGGTTTGGACTCCTAACAAGAATGGATTGGTACTATCTGCCACAGCGAGCCACACTAAAATGTTACAACGGGTATAGAGCAAGTGGAAGACCTCGGAAATATGGAGTGACGGCATTAAGAACAGCCTCACAGAAATGAACATCAGTCTTAATAGTGCTATTGACAGAGCTCTTAAACGAATGTTACACCCCACCCCACCCCCCCCCCTTCCCGACACTTCGATGAGGTACAAGGTGGATGAAAAGGAGAAAAATAAGAAGAAGAAGTCCTTTTGTTGTTAAATCATTCAATTTTGATCAGATTTGATATCCAAGGTATGGCTGAGAAACCAAATAGCTCTTTACAGTGCAAGTAAGCAAATCAGCTTTAGAAGTTGGCAGCACCAGTCTTTTGCCAACTTAATGAAATAGCAAAGTGAGATCGTCAGGTAATTTAACGTTATCAACATGTTTCGATTCGAATAGTTTAATAAGTTTTTGCACTTCCATTAGACTAGTTTGTAAAAAGAGAAGGAATGCCATTTTTTTGGTAGCACTTTTCACTTTGTCTTGTTATTTCAAATCTTAGTTACCACAGTGTACATGCCCAGACCTAAACAAAAAATTTGCAACAAATATTTAACACAGTTATTATTAAACTGACATTGAAAGAAGAAAAAAATCTATAAAATATCTAACTCAAACGAGTAACATTTAGAATTACATCTACCATCTAGACGTCAAAAACACCATCTAGATGCAAGGGGAAACATCTAGATCTGGATGTTAAACTTCCAAAGTGGCAACACTGAATTGCAGTGGTGCGAGTTAGTTAGGTTATCATCATTGCACTGCACTCGGTACATGTCCATAGGTGCTCAGATCCTCACCTCAGTATGAACCCCAACGTCCGATGGCTAATAGAACCAGTTCTGTGTTGTTGGTGAGATTTTTTAAGCAATGTGACTGGCTACAAGAGCAACTGAGGAAGGAACTCAGAATTGATCATTTGAAGACAACACATGTTCGAAAAAGATATAGTGTAAGATGAAACAACGCGTATAGATCTGTCAAGAAAAGGCATACGACAGTATTAGTAGACCATGCGTATAAACTATGTGCTAATGGAAACCCTGAAAGCCTTTGCTATAAGAGTCTGTGCGTTTCCCAGTTGTGATGACGGGGGAGGGGAAGGGAAGCTGTTTAGCAACTAATCTAGCCGACACCTATAGCTATTTCCATGGCATATTTGACTGAAAACGAGATACGAAACGGCAGTTCTCGCTAGAACGGCACTCTGGACTCTCGAGAGAGCTATAGTTTAATACTTTTATACTATAGCCGCTGCAAGCCTCACATTCTAATAAAGACATTTATTTCATCACTGAAGGTTGTGGATTTCGCACGTGTGCGCTGTTCTTAATCATTGTAAGAAGAGTGTTTTGTATGGCAATCATGACTGGTTGTTTTATTTTGTCTTATTCTAAATATCATAATCATCATCAGGTGCCTTGTCGACCGGCGTGGGCGATCATGCCTCTCCACAATATGCGATTTCCTGCAGCATGTTTCAGTTCGTGTGCTGACACACATCCATGCTATGCAACAAGACTGTCAAAAATCTTCTCTCGTTGTCTCCCTCTATCCCTCCTTCCACAGATTTTTCCAGTAGTCACAACATGTTCAATTTTTCCTCTTCTTATAACATGGCCGAAAAATAATCTCTGTGATAAGTGGTCTTCGGGCTCCCGCCTCCAGGGGTGCCAATGCTGGGTTTTCCCCCCAGATCTGAGTTTTTCTCAGAGGCCTCAGGGAAATCTGGGTTTTTTTTTAAATTTATCCTTATATAAAAGTGGTAATTGTTTCGTTTCGTAACTATAAATTTTGTACATTTTAACAATCTGGGTTTTTTTTGTTTTTGTTTTTTTGTTCTTTGTCTATGTATTGCTTGGGTTTTCTTTTTGAAAAGCTGGGTTTTTCAAAAAAATCCCATTGGCAGCCCTGCCCGCCTCTTTCAAAACCTCTTGGTTGCTCTTTTTGGCTGTCCAAGGTATTCTAAGCATTTTTCTGTAAAACCACATCTCTGATGTCGATTGTGATAACATAACATATTCAAAATAAAAAGGAAATACCAGAATTTGGAAACAAGAAGCCAATAGCCTTACATACAGCAAAGATAGTCGCTCTGTCTACAATTATGGCTCTTAAAAAAGTATGTAGTGAAAAAAACATTGCAGAGATCTTCTCGGCTGCATGTTATCTACTACAGGATGTTTCAGCACTAATTATTAAATGAAATGGGAAATAGCAGACACACACAAAAACGAGAAAAAAAAATAATAATAAAAAACATGTAGCAGCTGTTACAGGATCATCTAAGCATTAGTATAGTAAAATTGCAACCCACCGTGCTTGTTAAAAGGAGCATAAAAGCAGGGCTCATGTGAAGCTGGTTTTCTCATTGTGTAGGAAACGAGCTAAAAAATCCAACCATTTGTGAAGTCAGGGGAGGGCTTATTGTGAGTTTTTTGTGGGACTACATATCATTGGACATGAAAGAAGAGAGAGAGTACTTGCAGTAACTTTTAAGAGTAATAATAAAAAGTCTTAATAGTTTTTGTGGTTGTAATGTTATGTTATCATAGGCTGATTTGTAAGCAGCAGCTGTATTGTATATATTTAATGTGCTTGTCTAACTAATGTTTATAATGTTAATTTCCTCACATCCCTAATTTCCTCACTTCCCACAAGCCCAGACAAGTACACTACCAACACAGAAGACATGTCAAAACCAAAGTATATTTACTTTCACCTGAGGAGCAGAGGAGAGTTGCCTCGTCTCGTGGCTGCTGTGGGCGGCTTGGAATATGAGGAGGAACGAGTTAAATTTTCAGAATGGCCTGGTCTCAAAAGTAGTATGTATTAATTATTTATGTTTTTTTTTATGATGACTGTTGAGGTTAACATTCTTTAGTAGTTTTGTTTTTTGTTTATTTTTTCTAGTGGGATTTTTCTACTTAAAATGTTATTTTGGTCATCACTTGGCATGAAAAATAGTGTATTTAATTTTGCTCCATCTTATTTCTAGTTATTGTCTTCTTGTAATAAATTAACATGTCATAATCATATTACATGTAACTATCATATACACTGAAGTTTAACTTTACAGAATATCTACTATTTGTCAACTACAGTGTTTTGTAAAAGATTTTAACTTGGAGGTATATGCTATGTGGGGAGCAGCCGTGATGTAGCAGCTAGACACTCACCTGTAGATCCGAAGTTTATGGGTTCAGGTCCTAATGGAGCCTGACTTTAATAAAATGGCATTGGCTCCCAGGTCGACCCAGCCTCTTATGGATACCAGCTAAAGTCTGGGGAAGTAAAAGCGGTCGGTGAGGTGTTCGCCACCTCAGCCACTGAGTGCCAGTTTGTCTATAAAATATAGATCTAGCCCTAGATGCTCAATATGCCTACTATGTGGGATCAAATTCTTATAGCTTTTTTTCCACAATAAAATTGCAAGTTTCTTTAATTTAGCAAATTTTTGACACATAAACTGAATGAATAAAAGCTTCTTCACCAGTGAATTCACCCTCTAGTTTAGTCTGAAGTACTGTGAGAAAATAATTCAATGCCTTATAATAAAAGTAAAGGACCCTTTTCAATGCCCTTAAACATATTGGATACAAGGCGCTAGACCTATATTTATAGTTGGTACATGCCTGTAAATGGGGCCAAAACCACACACACCATTTTCATTCTTTCTACCAAACCCCATAAAGTTTTACTTACATATGGCAGCCAGGCACTGAAACATGATGACTCACCGTCACATTTAGGAGTAACCTTTGACCCAAGACTCACATGGAGAAAACAGATAGAAAAGACACAGAGCAAGGGACTCAAGATTCTCTCGCCAAGACTCGCTTCATCGCCTCTCTAGAGAGGGACAGTGTATTATATTTAGACTAAGGACTGGGCACAACAGACTTTGTCAACATATGTTCACCTTTTTCGGTGTAGGAAATACAGAGATGTGTCCCTGCAGCATGGCACCCGAAAATGCTGAGCATGGGCTCCAATACTGTAAACTGTATGCTGACAACAGAGACGCAATCTGGCCTGTTCCAACCACAATGAAGACACAGCTGTATGGTACACGAGAGGATATGGACTGCATGATAGCTTTCAGAAAGGCTACCTGCCTCCTTATATAAGTTTTCTGACAGAAGGATCGAAGAAGAAGAAGACCTATAGTTTATAGACCAGTTGGTACCCTAGGGGTAATGTAGTCAGCCACCTTTACTTCCCAGGACTTTTCCTGTTACAAATTTTAGGCTGAGTTCACCTGGGAGCTATGGTCATTAAAACAAACATCCAATCTGGTGTGGATTTGAGCTAACATCCTTAGGAAAATTGTGTTGTAGCAACTAGTAATTACAGCTGCAAATATTTTTTTCTCAGAGACACCATACGGGCAGTTACCTGTGCTTATAGTGGATGGCAAATGGTATGCTCAGAAGCTGGCAATTAGTCTGTTCTTTGCTAGGCAAGTTGGTATGTATATTTGTTAATATCATACTAAAGTTGAATAATCATAATATTAAATTTTAAATCACAATGTTTTTCAAAATATCTTGATTCAAAACTATAACTCAGTTTCCTTTTGGTGGAGCTTTTTGTTTGTTTCTCTAATCTGCAGACATAGGTCTACACAGAGACTGACATAGACATCATAGATTAGTCTGTCTGAACGATGTATTATTTGTAGCAATCTTTTTGCTTTTGTGAATTGTCATAAAAACCGGTATAATGCAATGGAAATTATACAGACTATTGATGAACAGTGGGATATGTTGCGTGAGTCAATTCAGCAGACATCAAAAGAGACAATCCCACCAACCCATAGAGTTGCAAAAAAGAAATGGATGTCAACTGAAATTCTGCAGTTGATGGATGAAAGAAGGAAGAAAAAAGTATGATAAAGAAGAATACTCTAGAATACAAAAAGAAATAGTGAACAAATGCAAAGTGGCTAAAGAAGCCTGGCTGAATCAAATGTGTACAGAGATTGGGGAAAACCACAGGAAAGACTCACATTCCATGTACCAACAGATAAATATGTTAACAGGAAAGATGACACGTAACAGCACTGGATGTTTGAAATCAAAAGATGGTGACTTATTAATGGGACATAGTAATATAATTAACAGATGGACAGAGTATATAGGGGAATTGTATGATGATAATAGACCAGATGTAGAACTGCAGACCAACAATTATGGTCCACCAATAATGACTGCAGAAGTTGAGGATGCAATACATCATATGAAGAAAAAAGGAAAAGCACCCGGGCCAGACAAAATCTCACTGGAAGAAATCGAAGCACTGGGAGATTTTGGAATTGAAATAATAACTCAACTTTCAAATGATATTTATAATAGTGGGTATATTCCAAATGACCTTTTAAAATCCATATTTATAGCTATGCCAAAGAAACCAGGGACTTTAAAATGTGAAGACCATCGCACAATAAGTCTTATGAGTCACATGACTAAGATTTTTCTGAGAATAATTATGAGAAGAATAAGAAACAAAATTAAACCAGAAATCAGCGATGAACAATGTGGATTTGTAGAAGGAAAAGGTACAAACAATGCCATTTACATCCTAAGGACATTGTCAGAAAGAGCTATAGAAGTAAAGACTGATTTGTACTTATGCTTGATAGACTATACAAAAGCATTTGACTGTGTGAAGCATGAAGAAGTAAACGAACTGTTAGAAAAATTAAACACCGATGGGAAAGATCTACGAATAATAAAGAATATGTATGGGCAGCAAACAGCAGCTATAAGAATAAACAACTGTTTAGGTACATTTCAAAGCATAAAGAGAGCGTACGACAAGGATGTGTACTGTCACCTGATTTGTTTTCAATATACGGTGAATATATAATGAGATCTTTAATTGATATGCCCGGAATTGTGGTTGGTGGGCACAATATAAACAATTTACGTTATGCTGATGACACAGTCTTGACAGCAACAAGTCAGAAAGAACTACAGGAAATGATAGACATTGTGGTGTTAGAAAGTGAAAGAATGGGCCTCAGTTTGAATAATGGGAAGACAGAAGTAATGGTGGTATCAAAGAAACGAAAAGTGTGTAATAAAAGTTGATGGTGTTTTTTTAGGACAAGTACAGAAATTTAAGTATCTGTGCACATGGATAACATCAGATGGAAGATGCATGAGATAAGAAATAGAATAGGACAGGCAAAAACAGCATTTTATAAAATGAAAAACATCTTGTGCAATATATCCTTGTCATTGAGAGTTAGAAAAAGAATTATTGCTTGCTACATACATCCAGTTTTAACATATGGATGTGAATCCTGGACAATCGGTAGGCAGGCCAAACAATTTTTAGAGGCCTCAGAGATATGGTTTTACAGAAGAATGCTTAGAATAGCTTGGACAGCCAAAAAGAGCAACCAAGAGGTTTTAAAAGAGGCGGGAGCCCGAAGAAAACTTATCACAGACATCAGAAGGAGACAGTCATCATGTTGTGACCACTGGAAAGATCTGTGGAAAAAGGGATAGAGGAAGACAACGAGAGAAGATGCTTGACGACAGTCTTGTTGCATGGCATGGAGGTGTGTCGACACACGAACTGATACATGCTGCAGGAGATCGCAGATTATGGAGAGGCATGATCGCCCACGCCAGTCGGCAAGGCACCTGATGATGATGATGATGATGAATTGTCATAGATTGTTGTGAATCACCACCTACTATTGTTTTCTCTCCTTAACACATGCTTATCCCTTGCAGGTTGAACATTTTAACTGGATTTGAATCTAACCTAAAAATGAATTCAGAGAAAAAAACACAATTTTGCTATTTGAAATCTACTTCAGCTCTTCAGAAGCTGCATACACTGCAGTTTTTTTTTTGTAACAATCAAATTTTCCAGCAGCAGCCAAACCCTCATGTGTATTGACAGCAACAAGCAACACTGAGTACTCGTTATTTATTTGAGCATTGTCACAACTCTCTGAGTTAAGCACTGAAGATAGGTGATGACTTGTTGGACCAGTATCAAGGCTTTCAGTCACTGGTACGAGAGTAGTACCAAGGAAAAAAACTTGGGCCTCACCACATAAAAATTCCAAAGCCAGCAGTGGATGTACCTTGCTACTGCTGTTGTCCATTGAGGAAATCACATACACACACTCACACACACACACATGAATGCATGCAGACACACACACATGCATGCATATATCCATGCATGTACACACACACATGCACACAAGCACGCAAGCATACACACATGAATGCATGCATGTAAGTATGCACACACCCATGTTTGCATTTATGCACACACACACACACACACACATACACAAGTATGACTTGCTTCCTTATTAGGCAAGCAATAAACCATGAGCACTCCAACAAGCAGATGTAACTGTTAGGTGCTGATTGTCTACTATCATCATGGGGAATGTGAATTTTGCAGCCTCGCATATAGCAGTGTTTGCAGGTCTCAACAGTTGGGACAATGGCCAATACACCTATATTAGTTAAGCTAAAAGCTGTTTCTCATCCCAAGCCAAGATGAGAAAGGAGGAGAGTTGGGTGTGGGACCAGCTCTGTAACAGGTTTTTTTTTTAATTGATACAGAAACTTGCAGTAAAGGATGCCATTCTAGTAAAACTATGGTACTCTAAATTGTATAGTTATGAACCAAGTTACATATTTTATAGCATTCTGGTAAACATATGATTCTCTAAATTGTATAGTTATGAAACCAAGTTACACATTTATGGCATTCCGGTAAACATATGGTACTCTAAATTGTATAGTTATAAAACCAAGTTTCACATTTTATGGCATTATGGTAAACATATCATACTCTACATTGTATAATTTTAAAACCAAGTTACGGATTTTCAGATCTAATGTTATTTCAGTTGACCATTTGCTAATGAAATTTGGAGAACCATGGAAAGTCATGATGTGAAAGTTGAATGCATTGTAAACAAATGCATGGTAAAATGTTGAACATAAAAGGGGATGAATTAAAAAAGGGTGAGGAAAAAAGACTATACAACCAGTGATCAATCACAGGTGACAACAATTATAAAACAAAGAAGTTGACACTATATTGGACCAAACCTGAGAAGAAAAGACAATCACCATTAGGCACTAAAATGGGAAATGAAGGGACTGAGTAGGACATGCACAAGAAACCTAGATGAACACCGAGAAGAAATGCTATAGCTGCTGGACTGGATTCTTTTTATGATATAAAAATTATTGCAAAGGATAGAAAGGAATAAAGGTTGCAAAGGATAGAATAGAATGCAGGAATATACTGCATACTCTGTGTGACAACAGGACAGTCATGATGAATAATAGCTATTTCCCATGGTGTCTCACTTGGAAGTAAAGAGAGATCTTAGACACTGGATCATAAGAACTTGGGTGCATAGATGCTCCCACCAGGGGGAAAAGGGGGGGGAGGGTGGAGGTTGCAGCTTCACCCTTAATTTTCAAATATTAAAAATGCTGAGGCACCCACCCCCTTCTTCCCCCCCCCCACCACCCCTTCCAGAATATTTGCAAGAGGTCAAGCGCCCTCTCCCACTGTAACCATGTATTCATTGTCCTGTTGTGCATGGTACTTATTCTGGATAAGGTAACATTGTGCTGACAACATTTGTATTAGCAGAGTAACAAAGAACAACTGTGTGCCAGGCACTTTGCAGTTTTTGGTCTCTCATTGTGATCTGTTCTTTGAGTCAGATAATTCTTCTTATAATTAG